TTTATGTGATGTAATGTACCCCCCAAATTCCATCATCGGGAGAGTTTGAGAATGTGTCTGTGTCTCTTCTCAAGCTTCCCTGCATCTTGTCTCTCCCCTCCCATCATTCTTCTTCCTCCTCATTTGGAAGCAGAAGCCAGAGAAGTGGAGCATGTGTGAGCCAGAGGCAATGTCAGAGGCTGTGAGTGCCACAGCCACCTTTGGGCTGTGGTATGTGGAGTGTATGTGCCCACATGCCGTCAAACACATCTCTAGCTCTCTCTTGCAGGAGGGTAGAGTCTAGAGGTGGCAAACTCTCCCAGTCATGTTCTTGGAACCGCCGTGTTGCTCTGACCAGCTACCAGCTGGGACTTTTCTTTCTTTCTTCCTTTTTTCCTTCCTTCCTTTCTTTTCTGTTTTGGTCTTTCAAGACAGGGTTTCTCTATGTAGCTCTGGCTGTCATGGAAAACTCTATAGACCAGGCTGCCCTCAGACTCAGAGATCCACCTGCCTCTGCTTCCCCAGCACTGGGACTAAATAAAGGCATGGACCACTATGTCCAGTCCTAGCTGGAATTTTCACAGGTGCCTTAACTTTATATGAATTAGGAATGTTTCTTCTTAATGGAAGATGGCCTGTCTGCTGTGAAGCCAGTTGAAAACCCCAGAGTTTTAGAAGATTTAGAGCAACCTTCCCTTCCCAGGGCTAGGACCTATTTTCCTGTCTCCCACCTACTTCCTTGCCATGCTGAAGACTGAGAGCAAAACTCAGGGAGCTCCTGCTACTAGGGCAGTCGAAAACAGACCTACATCCTACTGTGCGAACAAAAAGTCTGAGCTCTCTGCTGCATGGGGGAGCTGCCCCTTTGAGTTCCCAACTGGACCCTGTTTGTTTTCTATTCATTTCAGACAATAGACTTTGAGAACGACTGGAAGATAATCACTGTCTTCATAGGAGGCAATGACCTCTGTGCGGCTTGCAATGACCTGGTAAGTCCCCGGCCCCGACCCTTGGGAAGGAGTTCTGTAGTTGGCCACTGCCTCCTGGGACAGCATAGCTAGGTAAGGACTCCGTTCATGGCTTGGCATGGATCCAGGGAGGATTCATTAACGCTGAGACCCAGAGGACGTTCACCTGGAAGACTGAGGGAGCCTGTAAGAAAAGCTTTTGTTGTTTGGAAAACTCTTACTTGTTTTCATGGCTAATTATGGGCCCTTCACAGCACTTCCGGCCTTGCCAATGCCACCTCTGTCCGTCTCTAGAGAAAGTGTTTTCCCACAGAGGTGATAAGGCAAGGTTCAGGTCTGTGCCTCTTGGGGCTGAGGAAACTCACAACGGAGGCTGTTGAGCTTTGGTTGCCATGTAATCCAGAAAGCCCCCTGCAGGAGACCCCTTAGACCTACCATACCACCTGTGAGTCTCACACCCACCCACACTTGTGCCCAGTGGTGAGCAGTGGCAAATGAGATACAAACTCTGCCCTTGGGGTCTCCCTGAGCCAGGGGCCGGAAACCAGCAACTCTTCATACCACAAGAGACATCACCGTGGGGTTCTGAAGATATGTAAGAGAGTCCACAACCAAAGTAGGCTTGGTGTACGGAGAACAGGGAGGTTCTCGGCACATACTGCAGGAGACCTGCAGCTGGGATGCAGAGGTGCAGCCTGGGTTAGGGAGTCAGGGTCCTGAGGTAGCAGGAGGGGATGACCTGGTTCCCCTGCACCTTACAATGCCCTTTCCTGGCGTCAGAGTCACCAAGGGCTAAGAACTTTAAAGCTGAGGTTTAAGGGACCCCTCAGGAGCACTGACAGGCTGCTGGGGACAGGTAAGGCTTGGATCTTGGTACCCCTCCCAACTTCCTCCCAGGGATCACAGCTTTACCCTGTTGTAAAATGGGGTTCTCAGATTTTATCCAGAAAAGGGGTTCTACTTCCTTGCTCTGAAAATGAGCTTAGAGAGATGGCCCACCCAGTAAAATGTCATCATACAAGCATGAAGGTCTGAGGTTGAATCTCTACCACCCACAGAAGAAGTTAACTGTGTCTGTGCACGCCTGTAACCCCGGTGTGCCCGTGTCTGTGCACGCCTGTAACCCTGGTGCTCAAGACAGACAAAGGTATTCCTGGGGCTTGCTAGCCTACCAGTCTAGTGAAGGTCCAGATTCAGTCGAAGACCCTGTCCCAAAAGATAAGGTAGAGCCACTGAGGAGGATACCTGATGCCAGCCTCTGGCCTGTGTATGCATATACATGGATGCCCACCTGAATACATTCATTCTATCCCCCCTACACACAATTCTAAAACCACAGATATAAAAATCAAAGTGTATTTATGTTTTGGGGCTCCACAAGCCCTTTTCCCGCTCTGCATCCTTGATGCAAAGCTTAGATGTGACCGATGCTACAGCCTAGGCTCTCTCTGTGACCACACAAGAAGAGGACAGACAGTAGAACCAGAGAGTATTTTACGTTGCAGAGCTGAGGTCAGCATCTGCCCCAACACCCCCATTTCTGAGGGGTTCAGAGAAGAGACATGGTGTAGCTAAGGCTCTACCCCTAATCACTACTAAATCAATTCCGAGTTTCCCCTGGCTCTGGGCAAAAGAAAGGACCCTTTCCTGAGAGCCATGGTGAGCTCAAGCGTTGTAGCGAGGGCCCCCAAAGACAAACCCTGTGTTTCAATTTTGCCAACTCTGACTGAAATACAGAAAAAAAAGAAGCCAGAATAAGACACAATCCTGCTTAGTAGGGAGTAGATGGGGTGACTCATGGGCCTCAGGAGATTCTCCCTCTGCCTGCAGGATCACTATTCTCCCCAAAACTTCACAGACAACATCAAGAAGGCCTTGGACATTCTCCATGCAGAGGTATGGAGCTTAAACCACCCGGGGCCTCTGAGTAACTCCGTCATAGCTGTCACCTGTGGCCTCAGAGAAGCCTAGACACAGCTCTGGCTTCATTCTGAGACCTCCTTGGTCAAGCCTTTGTGCACTTGACTTCTTGGAGAGCAGACATGAAAGAGAAAGGAGCTGGGTGGGGCCGGGAAGAAGTCACATGATCTGAGCTCCACCCCGCCCCCATGTAAGCAGCTGATGCTGACCTACTGTGTTGACGTGGTGGCTGATTCTGTGTTTCTGCAGGTTCCCCGGGCCTTTGTGAACATGGTGAAGGTGCTTGAGATCATCGGCCTGAGGGACCTCTACAAAGAAACTAAAGTCAGCTGCCCACGGCTTATCCTCAGGTCTGCTGTATGCTTCTCCCCTGTTCCAAAAGGGTTGTGGGACTTAGGTAGAGTGTGGGGGTTGTTAGAACCACCCCCCATTTTAACCTCACGGGGGACATCTCAGGATATTTGTTTTAATCAGTATCAGGCCTCAACAATCTCTCTGAGGAAGCACATGTGGCTTCTCTTCCTGTTTCTGTTGTCATGGCAGCCTCAGGAAGGGAAAAGCGGATGCTAGGAATGGGGTCAGGTCATAGGTAAGACTTGGGGAACACTCAGCCCACTGCTAAGACCTATCTCACAGAATAGCCAGAGCGTAGTGACCACCTCCCAGAAGCCTCCCCGCAGGACAGTGTTTCTGACTGGCATGTGTGTGCTCCAGGTGGGACAGACACAGCTATCGTCACCCCTTAGAAGAGAAAGAAGGGAGATCAGAATCCACAGGGTTCCGAGAACAGTCTCCTTCTTCAGAAGGATGCTTCTAAGAGGCTCTCTTCAGCCTCCAGAACCACCCAAAGATGAATTCTCTCTTGCTCCGTTATAAGTGCATGCTTTGGAAGGAAGCTGTTCTTCTAACTGAAGCATGACCATTTCCCACAGATTCTGCCCTGAAAGCCTCCTCTGCACCCTTTGGCCAGGTCACAGGGGCTGTGCAAACCTCCCTCCCCTGCCCTCAGCTCTGTCCCGACCACGGCCCTGAGCATACCACGTGGTCATTAGTCACCACCCTGTGGTGATTCTCCCCCACAGCCTGTGAGCACTGAGTCACAGCCGGCACGGGGGAGGGGCTCAGGAGCTGTTTGCTGAATAACTGAATGAATAATTCACAAGGGCCAGCCTTGTTCTTGGAAATTTAGGGGGCATGCTGACTGATCCCTGGAGAATTCTGCCAACCGTTCCCTAGGGGAGTACGGGGAGACAGCACAGGTTCCCTGGAGAAGGCTTCAGGGTGCCACGGAGCAGAAACAGGCTGCCTGCCAGTGCGGTGTCTATTAGCACAGCTGGTGTCGGGCACGCTATTTTCAGCTGCTGATTCATCCAAGGCTCCCACTTTCTCTACTCACTGGGACATGCAGGGATTCAGAACGTATATTCTCTCCACGCCAGAGCAGTGTCCCCCAAAGCCCCCCACTACCAATCGCTGTAAAGATTTGCAGGCCGCCAAAACTCAACGTTCGGAAAAGGCATTGGCCAAGCCCGTTTAGAGAGGACACTGTCAGTGTTGACAAAACCAAGGGCTTCCTTGTCATGTGACCACATCCTGCACCTCTCTCTGCTGTTCTGTCTCAGTGGCCAGGCTTCCTCTGTGGTGCGACATCTATGCTAAACCACCCCGGCTAGTATTACCTTATCCCCCAGGTGAAAAGTCCAGATTTTCTGGGTGGTAAGCCAGAGGGGAGCTGCAGACTGACAGAGGCAGATTAGTTCAGAGACCGAGTTAAAAGTTCCTGCTGCAGTTGCAAGGCTGTGTGACCTTGAGAACATTACTTAACCTTGGTCGCCTCTCTATTCCACCCCCTTGGTAAACTCAGGACTGCGATTGTACTAGGGAAGTCCGCTACCACTGAACTATACCCCTAGCCCTTTTTACACTTATTTATTTGTTTGTTAATTTTTGGACAACATCCTGCGTATCCCAGGCTGGCTTCAAGCTTTCTCTACAGCTGAGAATGACCTTAAACTTCTGATTCTCCTGCCTCCACCTCCCAGAGTGCTAGGATTACAGGCAGGACCATCACACCCAGTTTGGGGGTGTGAGGGACAGAACCCAAGGTCTTATGCATGCTAGACAGGGACTTACCAACTGTGCCACATCCCACACCCCGCTTTTCTTTTCTCGTTGAGAACAGTATCTTGTTAAGATGCTTCAAACTCGTGGTCATCTTCCTCAGCCTCTGAAATCACTAGGGTGGCGAGCCTGTAAAAACGAGGTCAATAATGATTTCTGGAACGTCTGGGAGATTTAAACATATTAATGCATGGCGCTTGGCACCGTGACCATGCAGTGCGTACGAGCCGTTATTGCTCTGGTCACTGTTGCTGTTTAGGAGGAGCTGTGTCTCTCTGCATATCTTCACACAACCATCAGGTGACTCAGTTCCATAAGACCTCTCCTCCAGACCTCAGGGAGAAGCACCTGTTTCCAAGAGCAAGTCCATGGATGTCTCCTGTGGCTTGCTTTGACCCAGACCGAGATTCCTGATGCCTTCAACTGAAAAAGAAATACATCGAAGCCCAGACCAGAGCTTCTGAATGGCTCATTCAGAATGATGACCCTGGGCATCTTTTTGGCTCTGTTGGCAGGTCTCTGTGTCCTTGTGTCCTGAAGTTTGACGATAACTCCACAGAATTTGCCGCCCTGGTTGAAAGGAACAGGCAGTATCAGGTAAGGCGGAGGAGGGTTCTGCCCCTGCACGGGGTTCTGGGAGGTCTGTGCCAGGCAGAGTTATTGATGCTAAGTAGCTTGTTGACTGATGAGTGAATGGTGACAAGGACTGTGTCAATAGGAGCACATTCAAGGGCGCTAGGGGCCACAGGGCAGCTTCGTTGAAGCTACAGAATGAGGTCAGAGAGCACGCTTCACGGGATCCCATTTTCCCCATTGCCTCTCTGATGAAGGAATTCAAGTGTTGGTTGAAAGTGGTTGGTAAGACACGAGACAGGTTTCATTGTGTTTCCCCAGCTGTTCCAACCCCTGTCTCTTGTCTCCTCTGGCAGGAAGGAACTGAACAGCTGATCGAGAGTGGACGATACGACACCAGGGATGATTTCACTGTGGTTCTCCAGCCGTTCCTTGAAAATGTGGCCGTGCCAAGGACCCCGGTAAGGAAATGATGCGTTGAGGGTGAGGGGAGCCCCCAGAGGGTGTGCGGCCGCATTTTCTGCCATCTGTAACTGCTCCTCCCTTTCTGCCTGGTGACTAGGAGGGCCTGCCCGACAACTCCTACTTTGCCCCTGACTGTTTCCACTTTAATGTCAAGACTCACGCCCGCGCAGCCGTTGCCCTCTGGAAGAACATGGTAAGAACTGTGGTGTAAGAATTCTCTCTCCCAACCGGGCAGTAGGGGTGCACGCCTTTAATCCCTGCACTCTGGAGGCAGAGGCAGGCAGATCTCTGCAAGTTTGAGGCCAGCCTGATCTACAAGAGCTGGTTCCAGGACAGGCTCCAAAGCTACAGCAAAACCCTGTCTCGAAAAAACAAAACAAAACAGAATCCTCCTTCTGAGTCCAGCTGCCTGCATCTCCCCCTCCCCACCTCTGCATCTTGACCAGTCCACCCGGTCCACATTCCCCATCTTCTTGCTTCTTTATTCAGCTGGAACCTGTTGGCCATAAGACGAGACAAGAGAATTTTGAAATCAAGCTCCCTATCATGTGTCCGAACCAGGTAGAGTGGGCTGATGGGACACCCTCTGACTATAGAGACAAGAGAGTAGAGAAGGGTGGGGGGTTAAAACGGAAGGAGGAGCTAAGAAAGCAGATCTTAAGCAGTGGGGGAAATAGAATAGGATCCCAGTTTCCACTCACACATTGTCAGATTCTTGGAGTTTTATACTTAGCTCTCAGCCCTGTGACTTCCTCTGAGTCCCCACTGGGGACTACTGGACCAGGGCTTACATGGGAAGGAAATTGGAAGAGGAGGGATCTGCTTTTTCTTGCTTAAGCAGGAAGGATCCCAGGCTGCTGTGGGGCAAAGTGCCGGGTGGCAAGGCAGCCTGTTGGGAAGGGGCAGGATGGAGAAACAAGACCCGGCACCCTTAGCCAAGAGGACACATACATTCCTGGTAGCTACTTAAAGGTTCATTCTGAGTCTTGGGGCTGGGTTCAGGTTGTAGAGAAGGCCCTGGTGCATCCTGGGTGGGAGCACATGGTGGCCAGCCTTTCTGGAAGGGTCTTAGCGCTAACTGTGGCCGTGGGAAGGTTAGGGAAGGACATGTGTAGGCTGACATGAATCCTGCCATGGTTCACTCACCTTTTCCCACAGACCTTGCCGTTTCTGAGCACCTACAAGAACAGCAACCAGGTATCTACCTAAGTCCTCCTTTGGTTCACCAGGTCATGGTGTGGGTAGCCCCTGCTGATGCTTCCCATCAGAAAGCACAAGGAAGGCTTATCCCCTTCAGAAAATGATCTCTATCCTCACACCTTCCAGTGGGGGGGAGAGCAGAATAAACTCCATTCCAGTCAAATCACAGCCCCTCTGAGCCAGAACAAAGCTAGCCGCCCCTCTCACAATGGGCAGAGGGCAGAGGATGGGGTGGATCATTTTGGATGGCCCAAGTATGGCCCTGGAGGAAACAGATATCAGAGTCAGATGAACAGACCCCAGCTTGGTTGATATTCAGAATTATCTAGGATACCTTTTCCAGTGCCCCTGGAGGCCCCTCCCCAGGTATAGGACCCAAGGCTCTGTGATTTTCAAGCCTGCTGAGTGAACCTGATGCCTGTCTGACTTCTCTGCCCACCACCCCCTTGACCTTAAGATTCAGGGATTGGTTCTTTGCATTTAGGGTTATGGAACCTGGACGTTGTGCGAGGACAGAGCCCCTTCTGCCTCACCACCAACCTCAGGTAAGCTCCTGGGATCCCCGGGATCCAAGACCCCTCCACAAAGGCTCACATGCCAGTGAGCCATCTCTAAGACTCCATACAGTAACCACACAACACAGTTCTGACCAGTGTTTTCTAGCCCAGGTAGGCTTTGGCCAGCTCTGGCCTTTGGCAATACCATGCATGATAAGCCCCAGTGCCTTCTGGGCCAGGAGCTGATTCTTATCCTGCTTTCAAGACCTAAGCAGGGCCACACAGCAGACATGGGAGCTTGCCCATGGTTGGTCCAGCCCTGCAGGGCGGTAAAGTCCAGATGTGGATGAGGCCAGGGAGTCCCATCAAATGAATAGCTCTGTGGAAATGTGTCCTCAAACTCTGCCTACAGGTCTAGAAAGTTCTCTGGGCTCTTCAGAAAAGACTTGAGAGGAGGGAAAGTCTGGCATGACTGCTTCTTGAATTCTTGTGGAAATCTAGAACCCAGTTCTAAATAGGCTACCTATGGGCCAGCGTCTGTCTGGTTGGGCGCTTAGGCCACCCTGACTTCTCACATGGCGACTGGCACTAACGTAGACTCCTGCCTCACCTTCCCCTCCATTCCGTCATGGTGCCTTGCGTCCTCCCTTTTCTAGAACTCTTCCTCCCATTTCTCTATCTTCTAGCTTGATGAAAGTCTAAGAATTGTTTCTCTCTTATAAGAAAGTGCTGTTATGAAAGTTCTGCCAACAGAGTTTGGGCTCTCCAGCTCTATGTGGTCTGAGCGCGCATGGAATCTTGTTTGGGGCGTTGGCATGAAGCAAAAGCCCTAGACGGTGCCTGCAGCTCCTTTCCCGGACTCAAGCTTGTCCGCTTATTTTTCAGTGCATGCCCTGAGACCTGCAGACATCCAAGTCGTGGCAGCTCTGGGAGACTCTCTGACTGTAAGGACTTTTGAGCCCCCCCGGGGGGGGGGCGGTGCGAGATAGGGGTGAGCGTAGGCAATGGGTGTGGTGGGGCCTTCCAAGTCCTTGCCCTCCTACATCTAAAACCTGCACTCCCACCTTCTACAATCTCTCTCCCTTCTGCCCCTGCTCTCTCTGTCCAGGAGAATGGCAACAATTCTATTTTTGCAACTGCTTTATCGAGTAGGTGTGCAGGGGGAAAAAAATCTTTTTCAGGAATGAACTGAATATTCTCAGTTGGCAGAGGTTTTGAACACCCAACACCACATTTTGACATATGCAAAAATATGTCATTTTGACTCAAAATTCTCCTAACGATGCCTGTGTGGGTGCTACCCTCCCTCCCTTTTGAGCAGCCCAGACCCCCCCATCTGTTTCCTCCGCATCAACACAGAAGGCAGCTTTATCATCGGTGATGGAATAGGTTCTGCTCCTCACTTTCAGCGCTGGGCTGAGCCGCCATCCCAGGGCACCACCTTCTGGCAGCACAGCTGGGCTTTAGAAATGCCTTCCTGGAGGTTGTAAAGGAGAAAGAAGAGAAATGAGAGGGACTCTGTTGGAAATCCCCCCTCACAGCGGCTCCCACCTAAGCGCTTGCCCATGTCCACAAAGACCTGTGGTATTACTTGGTAATATTATCGGCATTAGTCCCATTTGTAAGCACTTGAGAATTTTCCAGTCTTTAAAAACTGTGATCCCAATTGGGCCCAAACCTCTCCTGTGGAAAGGCATGCCATAGTGAAAGAAGCCATAGCTGGGAAGGAGGGTCTCAGACTGATCCCCTCACTCCCAATCTGCATACCATTCTTGCTTCCACGAGTGCACTGGAGGCCATGCCTTCAGAACCCGTGTTCACAGTCCCCCACTTCTCTCTGACTTACTGGTTTTCTTGTGGAATTTGATGTTCTCAAAGGCTGGCAATGGGATCCGCTCCCAAGAAGAAAACCTCTTGGATCTCGACACACAGTATCGAGGACTGTCATATAGGTAATGTTAACCTTTGACCTCCTCTTCCCCAGGGCTTAGTTTGCTTGTTGTTTTGTTACCTTCTTAGTTTTGTGGATTTGTTTTGTTTCCTGGTCAGGGTCTCCTGGAATTTGGGTTGGCCTTGAACTATTTATGTAAGGGGAGGGTGACCCTGGGCTTCTAGCCCTCCAGTCTCTACCTCCTAGCTGCTGGGATTGCCTGCATGCACTGGCTGGGATGTAGGTTTAGCTCCTATAAATGCACAAATCTCAAAGAGCAAGGACAGGTCTAGAAAAGGCTTTCAGAGGAACAGCTGTATTTCTGCAAACTGTGAACATTGACTGAACAGAGAATATAATTTTGCTGTTAATGATCCTTTTATCTTTAAATTATGCAGAAAAAGTAAGCCAAGGTTCTTACCAAACTCCTGGGTCAGCAAATTCATCACCAAATGTGCCCGAAAAGCACCAAATCCTTGAGTCTCCACCTGCTCGTTTGCATATCTGTGTTCGTATGTTGACGCTCCTATGTTGGTCTTCATGTATGTATTCATGTCGTTTGTAGTCACCCTCTGCTTGTTTGTATATGTACACATCTCTACAGAAAACTGCCAAGACCCAATACTCACTTCTGGAGGCAGCAATGGTGGCAAGTTGCAATCAGTGGGCATTTCTGAGCAGCTCCTGTGTGCTGGCACAGGAATAGAGCTGGCTGGCTGGCTGGCTGGCTGAGAGGGCTCTGTGTCAGCTGGCTGCTCACTTGGCTAGTGTTTAGAAATAAAAACTTCCTGGATGCCATGGGATGGGAAGGGAGAGCGGGAATAGCCCTGCCAGCAAGGATGGAAGACTTCCCAGAGAAACTGGTACCCACATGTCTTTAGACAAAGTGAAGGGGTGAGAAGGGCACCCCAGATACAA